CCCCTCTCCCCCACATCTCTATCGAATCCCACTCTCTTAACCCCGGGCCCTTCATTGCTCAGAACTTTTCCAACCACAGCCTCTCTTCTACATCCCTCTGTGCGTCTCCTGATAAAAATAGAACTCTATTACCCTTTTCCAATAAGCTGTGACACGTGTGCCACCTCGCTCCAACATGCATGCGGTATATAAGGCCTGCGTGTGATTGGCTGCAGGCGAGCGAGGACAAGTCAACGACCTTGGAATAAACAACAAAGGCATTAAAAAAAGGGGGAAGAATTGTTCGAAACTGAAAAGTTGGGAGATTAATCTGTAACATTCGGGCTGTTGGAAGACTTCCATTGCTGCTTCAGGAAGAGGAAAAAAATAAATAAAAAATTCCCTCTCTCCGCCTCCCTCTTCTCTCCTTTTTACTCTCCTCCTCTGCCTTATCCAGCACTTCAAACCATCCATGAGTGTGACCAACTCCTCTGCCTACCGTTCGGAGCGTAGTTTCCACCAGACCTCCTCCTCCACTTCATCCTCCTGTAACCCATACATGGAGAAGAGCCGGGGTCTGTTCGCCGAGGACTTTGACTCCTTCATGAGGCCCGGAGGCAACACGTTGGGCTTTTCCAGTAAGTTGTAAAAAAAAAAATTCAAAGATTTGGGATTAAATCTGTGAACAAAATAGTAATTTGAGTAAGTTCTCAGACTGGTTTAATGATAGTTTGTTTCTGTTTGAAAGGAGTTTGTGTGAAATGTGAAGGCAAACATGCTGTATTTTTACAGGATCCTTTTCTTTTTAGTGTCTGTTTTTGAAATATATCGTGGCTTTAGGAGATATTTCACTTCAGAGTGTCGGGTGCAGCTCATGGATCTGTAAGTCCTCATGGTGAGAGGGAAAATACCTGACATGAGCCTTTAAACAGGCTTATATGTTTGATGTGTTAAAGATAGGGACAGAGGCTGTGTTTTGAATGTTTCACCTTTGGTATATGAAGCTTAACACACACACACACACACACACACACACACACACACACACACACACA